GGGGGGGAGGGTGAGGGTGAGGGTGAGGGTGAGGGTGAGGGTGAGGGTGAGGGTGAGGGTGAGGGTGAGGGTGAGGGTGATGATGGTGGTGGTGATGATGATGATGATCCGTTCAGAATGGAAAAGGCCAGGAGTGCGTCAAAGCCCAACGAGGTTCGGGCTGATCGCCCGACACAGCCAAGGTCGGGTTGCCGTAAATCACGGCATTCACCTCTGCTCCGGAAGCTGGGCTCCAGTTGTCTTGGCTTGGCCGTTCAAGGTCTCGGGGCACGGGCGCCTAGGTGCAGGAAAGGGTGAGGGCCAGGGATTGACGAGCTTCGGGTTCATCACTCTGGAATGCTGCGTTTGTCATCCGACAGTCCATCTGCACGCCGAGCCACTGCCATGACACCGGTGGCCAGCACGCCTGGAGACATCGTCGAAATAGGATCCACTTTTCTGGTTTCGGTTTCTATATCCAGAGGCATTCGAACCGGCGGGTGCAAGCTCGGAAGCTTTCAAGGTCGGTGATGCCCAGTCCGCCCCGACCCCGACATCTGAAGCCCCACACCCGCCCGAGATTGCGCGCCTAAGCACAGGATCCTCTGAGGCCGCGAGAAAACCTGCTTTCTGAAGCTTCTGGGCTTGAAGGAGGCATGGCTTCAAAATGTCAGCAAACCCAAGCGTCACAGCACCTTCAGAACTACCACTGTGCGCCGGCCCATACCCTACGTGACAGCCTACCCTCCAGAATCAGCCCAACCAGTCCGATGGCCCTGAACCCCACAGCGGGCCTCGTGATAAAACACAGGGCTGAGTAGGGCATGGTCTCGCTTGAGCACCCGCCAAAAGGTCACGGCCTGGGAAAAACAGCGAAACAAAGCGGATGCTCGGAGGACCCCTGGAGCAGCCGCCAAGCTCCCAGGCCAGGAAGAGGTTCTTGTTGTCGGTGAAGTTGTAGGCGATGGGATCCTCGCCAGGCTCTCATTTTCCTATTTGCCGCCTCATTAACTCAGAGGCGGCAAAAAGGATTTGCAGCAATGTTAATGGCTCCCAAGCCATGCCTGCCCTTGAAATCTGCCGAGCCCGGATCCTTAGCTCATGCCTCTCAACCCAATCCGCGAAATAGGATATAAAATTCAGAATCCCGGCGCCTCTGCACCTCGCACCCCAAGGCCCTTGATCCTCCGACTGCCGCTAAGTACAACTGTCCAGGACAGTCAGCGGGGAGACAACACCGTCGCCGCCCAGGTGGTAGGGCACAGCCGACTTGTCCTTCCGGAAGTTCAAGAGATTTGCGCAGGAAAACCCAGAAAAGCGTGCTCATTCCCCAAGCCTATACCAGTATCCGGCCTGCAACTCGGAGTGGTGTTCCAAGAGCTTTTTCCAATAAATCCCTGAACCCTGGTAACCCTCGTCAAATAAAGGCAAGAGAATTGCGGGAGCCATTGTTGATAGGCCTTGCCCGTCTTCAGCTGCTCGCGCATGAGCTCGTCTTGGATGTAGCCCCACCTGAATATTTCAATGCTCAGGGCTCCCCCATAACAAACTACGCGTGCCGCAAAGGGGATGCTGAAGGTCTTATAGGGCTTTACGACTTATTCAAGGGTCATTAAAATCAGGATTCTACCGTTCGGGATCTATCTTAGGGTGCCTTACCATGAACCGAACCACCACCTAACACAAGCACAAAGGCACCAGATACGACGCTACCTGACCTTCCTCCATGTTGTCACAATCCATTTCCAACCCTCCCGACACGCGCGCACATGCAACGCTTCTTCCGACTGTGCAGAACCAGACCCATGTCAAGCTCCGACACGGGCCCCGAGACCAACCCGAGACCCTGGCAGCGCGCAGAAGGTGCCCAACAGCAGGATGAAGCCTGACATGGCTGAAGCTTTGCTTCAATTTCACAGATGGACTTCGGAACAGTGACAAAGAACTTAGGACCTCAAGGCCCTAGACCACTGACCGGGAAGACTTATTACTGAGAGCCTTTGAATTCACGGACAGGGCTTTGCCAGAATAACCCGTCCTACTTCACGGCCGCCCCGGGGCCTAGGATGGCCATCTGCGAGAAGTTCGTGCCAACGTCCACCACCTTTACGGCGGCTCTCATACCGCGACTCACAGAAGGCGGAGCTAAACGTGGCGGCCCTCATCCCCCCAATGCTACAATACCACGAGGGCTCCGAGTCTGGGACTCCAGGGAACGAGGCTGAAGAGGACCATGCAAGTAAGGGCGTTTCAGGACCTACCTACCTACCTACCTACCTACCTACCTACCTACCTACCTACCTACGTACATACATATATACATACACATAAGAACGAGTTATTATTGACGATATCCAACTCATCACAGGGATCTGCATGTTTCGAGTGCCCGCAGGTGGGTGTTGCAGACCGTCCTGAGTGGTGATCGTTGACACGGCTTCGAACTATCGGCCCAGTTATAATCACAGTCCTCGTCAACGCGAAAATAAAAGCTACGTGACTACCGGTGGTCAGTTCAGTACCCACTCCAGCGCATCCTCGCCGGCAGGAGCACGTATACACATACATACACACATACACATATACACATATACGCATACATGTATGCGCGTATGTTTGCAAGTACATGCAGATATACACACATAATGTACATGCGAATATACATGTACATACACATTTACTTACACACATCTACATATACATGCATGTACGTATAGACGTATGTATATGACACTGTATATCCATATCCATACACATCTACATATACTGGCACATACACAATCTGCTATTGCATATATCGTTTGCAAACACAGACACATGTAAAATCAACCAATCAGTCTGTCCATCTGTCTATCCATCTGTCTACCTATGTAAATGCATACATGCACATGTGTACACGTTCATGCATGTCTTTTGCTTTGACTCGATTTACTTTGAGGGTAATTCGCTGTCGTTTCATTTTATCTCATTGGTTACATGACCATTTTCGTTCCGATTTCACGTGAAGGACTCACGTGTACAGCTTCGGGCAGTCCGTCCTAGCCTCGTCGATGTAGTAGCTGATAGCACGGTCCACCTGGGCATCGCTCTTGCGAGTTCGGCTGGCCCGCTTATGAGCTTGGATTCTAGAGGCGAACACTGCACACAGCTGTACGCAGCAGCAGAGCCGCGTAGACTTAGGCCTTCTACGAGAAAACATGCCCTAGGCTCTAGGGGGTCTAGGGGCAATGGACACTTCCGTCGCAGGGAGAGAGAGAGGGAAAGAGACAGAGAGAGAGGGAGAGATTGAGAGAGAGAGAGAGACAGAGACAGACAGACAGCGAGAGAGAGAGAGAGGGCCTGTATGTTGGCTGCGCATATTGCAGGTGAGGCAGCGAGCACCAGAAAACGGTCTGCAAAGAAGGTGACCGATAGCCGTGAAGACATGCGGCAAACAAAACAACGGCAGAGAGCACCAGAACGGTCCGTGAGACAGAACACACCTTGCAGACAAGACAGGTGTAGAAAGACACCTTGCGAGTTAAGTGGATAGATGGACGTGTTTGTGTGGGCCCGCCTACATGCATGTCTCAGAAAAGTACGTGATGAAGCTAGCTAGCTAGCTGATGGCCAGCTCGCACTCAAGTAAGTTTCTCTGCAAAGATGCAAAAAGCCATCCCTCTACTTCTACCCATTAAATCAGGAGTTTGTCCGTGCATACTACATCAACATATGCGTACAAATATGCTGCATGCATGTGCACATGTGCCCTTTGCTTGCCTGATTGCTGACTGGCTTGTTTGCTTATTAGCTAGCTTAGTTCGTTCTTGGGCACTTACGCGTACAAAGGAACACATGCATGCACACACAGCCAGCATCAGGTGCAGGCTCTTGCATGTGCAGACAGCTTGTGTGTGCTGTGTGTGTGTGTGTGTGCATGCGTGGCATGCATGCAACGTGTGTATTCTTGTACATGCTCGTGCGACAGCCTGGGCACATGGAAAATAGACAGATAGGTAGACAAACGACAGCGTACCGAGAGACAGAGAGACAGAGAGCGGGATGGTCGGTATGTGAGCACATGTTGGTCGTGCATGTTGCCTTTCATAACACAGTATGATTGAGTGGGTTGGCTGACATACTCCGCAACCGAAGTCCGAAAGTCCGCTTGGGGGCCTCCACGACACGTGCGGCTCTTCCATCCACAAAGAGTCCTGAGATGCATGGAATCCGCCAAAAGAGTCCAGGTTGCTGAAAGTAATCTGCCTCAAAAATCTGCCAGCGTGGAGACACCTGTACTGGGCGCTCGTCTGCCTTGAATTCGAAAAATTTCCGCTAGCAAGCACAACTCACGAGAGCCAAGAAGACCGCAAACATAAGCTGATGAAACCTCCATGAACAAGTTTATGAAAAAGCTCCGCTGGAGGCTTCGTGATCATTCGGTCGAAACAATCCCGGGCCCGACGTTCAATCCTTACGTTGAATCACCGCTTAATGCCGAACTCAACCCACCCCAGACTGCTCCAAACCTAAGCCTCAAACCCCAGACCCCAAGCTTTAAGTACCACAGCCGGGCCGCCGATGTCCGACAGGTGTGTAGTCAGGCAGCCGTCACCCGAATTTAGGAGGCCCTGGCCACAACGACTGTTTCCCAACGGTTATAAGAGATAGTCTGCTCTCATGTGACAAAAACTCATGCATCTACATACACGCAGCCGTACGTTGGGATGTAGGAAGGCGGGCTGGCAGGTAGGTAGGTAGGTAGGTAGGTAGGTAGGTAGGTAGGTAGGTAGGTAGGTAGGTAACTAGGTAAGTAGGTAAGTAGGTAGGAAACCATATATCTACATTTATATATATATATATATACAATTCTATACATATGGTCTCGCGGCACCTCGCGGTAGTTCTTGGGGGAGCTTTGTGTAGCATATATATATATATATATGTAAACACACACATGCTTATAAAATTCATCTTGCAGAATGCAATTGCCACTTCGTGTGCAGTGTACATGTGCATATCTGCATTGACGCCTGAGGGGACCAGGCTCCTCCCGCGCTGTCGGCAGCGAAGCGGTCCCAGTACATGCAGAGACCCGCCGAGTACAGCGTCCTTGTTTGTTGGAGGCTGTCGGTGGTTCGGGCCGACATGATTTGGCGATCCATCTTTAAGCATTTCGGATACCGGCTCAGGCAAAGAAGTTTGAGCTCGAGGTTCCCCTCGTCCCTTGCATTGAACTGGTCTCCTTGGCTGAACGTCTCAGGCTCCAGCCGATCTGCGAAAACGCGGATGGGGAAAATCTCGTTGCGCACCTGTGCTCACACACGCTGAGAAATCACAGTTCACCAATCGCCTCCCTTGCTCTGATCCTCAGGTCGTCGAGGACATCCCCCCTTCGAATTCGTGCATCTATCCCGTCGAGTCCTCGTTCTTGTGTGCAGTAGGTGACCCGACGTGCTGTGCTGGCTACGCTCGAAAGCCATGCAAAACCACGCAGAATTCCGTGGATGCCTCGATCTCGATGGTACTCGCCCTCATCACCTCGAAGGAAGTCTGCAGGCTGCGAGCGTGGGATGGGTCATCCTCTAATCTCCACGCGCCTTGCAGTGTCAGCTTCAGGCTTCGACGCCAGCTGTCCATACAACAATCTGAAGCCCTCTAGCATCATGTGGTAACAATACACGACCTGCGCAATGAGAGGCTAGTTAGTCGCAGCCAAGCGCAGCGCGAGAAGTGTGATGATCCGCGTTTGGTTGCCTCAGCGACATCAAAGCTCTAGCTGAGGAAAGTGGCCGCGTACCCAAAACTCCCAACTCCCCAATCAGCTTCTGAACGAGGCCTTGAACACGAAGCGTCCGGGTCTCCAGCCTGGGGGTGCGGAATCCGACCAGCCATAGATGTTCTTCCTCGGGCAGACGGCGCAGGCGAAGGCTTGAGTTGGCTGCTTCAAGGGTTGCTAGGATGTTGAAATACTTAAGACTTAGGATGTCTTGCAGGCCTGTGTGTTGAACCTTCGAGGACTTCTATCCGAACAGAGGAAACCACTTACAGATCCACCTTGCACAGCACGTCGCCATGCGCTCTCGTGTGCGAGAAAATGCATCTACGCAAAACGTTGAGCAAATGCAGTCCAAGGCATAGGGGGTCAACGATCGAAGCCTTACTGATTCGGCATTGGCGAAATTCACCAATGCAAGTCTGCATGAGGATACTGCGTGAATGAAGAAGATGCTGGAGTGCCGTGGGTTCCAACTTGGATATCCATGGACAATGCATACAACTAGTCTTCGCTGTGAGCTCGCGATCAACACGCCCAGCGTGCCCCAACGCCTCTCTGCATGGCTCGCGCACCCATAAGCAAACAAAATGGTACCGTCTGAAACTTGGAGTTGTATTGGGTAACCAACTGTTAATGAGTTCTGCAGCGCTTGGGCATACAGCTTGGGATTCGGATGCAGCGGATGGCGTGATGGTCTGGGCCTACGCTTCAGGGTTTCGGCATGGGATGTGCGCGCAGCTGAGCTTCCTGTACTCCACGAAGATGAACGAGAAGGCCGTCACGTTGCTCCCTGGCAGATGCAGCCATAATCTCTTGAAGCGTGGCTTGGGTCTGTGCAAGAACACGTCAACTGTGCCCGTTAATCATGCGCCTGGAGTGGGCGTATTGCCGGCAGTTGCTGGCCTGGGACGCAGCGGCAGGGCTACAGCGAGGTCCACGTCCGGGGCTGATAGACACAAAGAGAATCACAGACATCCCCAGACATCCCCAAACCCGGACAGAAGAAAGCAGATTACATGCGACAGTCGTCATCGAGGTGCTGGGCAGGGAAATGGTGACGACGCCTGCTTTGTCATTTCACTTCGCTAAACCACCGTTTCTGCAACGATCACGTTGCCCCGGGCCTCTAAACATTCAAGATCACACAAGCTTTAGTTTCAAGCAACTGACTGCCTCAGGCAAACAAGTGCCAGAAGTCAGAGGGAGCTTGAAAAGAGAAGCCCATGCGGAGGAGCGGGACGGCTTGGATGATCGTCTGGACAGCTCGCAGTAGATGCAAGGGACGAAATAGAGGAAAAGGAAGGGATCTTTACAAAGGAGACTGCATGCACTAAGGCTTTCAAACCCAAGCTTAAGGCGGCTTAAGAGCCTCGGACAGTTCACACGTCAGAGCTGGGGCAGGGGCACGGCAAACTTGTCCGGGAAGATGAAGACAGGGCTGACCTCGGTGCAACTCAACTACCTGTGAGCAGAATAACCTGAAACACCTGAGACAATGGAAACCCTGGCCTGGCTCATGTTCCGCGTTCGGCCAATGTACCTGAGCTGTGAAGGTGCTGCGGGTGCTCGCCTTGACCTAGTGACCTAGTGACCTAGTCACCCAGACAAGCCCAAAAGCCCCCCGCCCTCAAGTTCCCGAATTATCCGGAAACCCTGAAGCAAAAACAATGCGGTGTCGCTGTAGTGAATGTTGCCCATGCGCTTGTGTCGCACATGATTCAGTAGCGTGTAGATCGCATCGTTGTTTGAGCCATGATGCAGGATGAAGCCCGGGGTGACGAAACGCATGGGTGGCGCCTCGGCTCGTTCGACTGCTTGAGGGATTCGAGATTGAGTAGGATTGCGCACCTAAGGTTATGGGCTGTGAGAAGCGGTCACCGCTCTCGAAACCCGAGCCCCTGTAGATGTTGCAAGGCCTGATCCCACTCTGATTCTTCTGCCTGCTCTCTCCAATATTGGCAACAGAATTTCAGAGGCTGGAAGGCAGCGGACCCTTAGACGGAGCCTGCTGGCAGTCTTGGAGAATCCTGCAAACCAAGCAGCTCCCGTCGTCAGCTGGACGATGACCTGCTTGCAGATCGTATCTCGCCTCGGGCGCGCGTCGTTTTCCACCTTCTGGTCTTTCACAATCAGTTCACAGATGGCCAACACATTCACAACGCCAAGTTCCGAAACCTTGTACCTTCACGAAGCTTCCTGGGTGTCCCGGCAGCACGGCAGCTCGAGTGATGATCTGGGAAACTTGCCTTTCGAGGCTCTCAATCTGAAGGCATTGGAAAGCTTAGGGACTTGGCACGCCCTACACACCGCTACACCCCACACTCTGTAATGGACCCTCCCGGCCTCTCGCCCTCCTTCTTCATTTGCTCTGCAGCCTCCTGCGGCCGAACCGCCGTCAGAAGCTCCCAGGTACCAGGGTCGGGTTATTTTGCAAACAATGCCTTCGCTGCTCGGGTGAAGCCCTCCCGCCCACGCTTCATGGCGCTCCGAGCCTCTGCTGCCTGGGCTGCAGCCCTCTTCGTGGCGCGCTCGAAGGGTGGCTCTAAGGCGTACAAGGCCTGGGCACCAAGCTGGGAAGGGCAGCGTTCCAGCATGCCAAAGACAGCTTCGGCCGCAATATGTTCTTGACGGATGATAAGTTTACACTTTTTACTTTGGAATTCGCAGCTCGGGTAGAGAGTTATCTTCGGGCTCTCTTGGCGAGGAATGCTGTTGAAGACATCGTTTCGGTCACGCCAATTCTAGGCCGCAAAACCCATGAAGCAAATTGCAGGCACTCCATTTTCGACCCGGTTGTACTCAGCATGCCTCCTCTGAAGAGTCTTTCCTCGGGAGATCCTGCAGACTAAGCTTGAGAAGGGTCTCCGCCCGGCAGTGGCACTAGTTGCCATAGCTATGTTTCAGCCGCCCGTGTCACATAGACCCAACTCGCGTATGCCGACAAATACTGATCCACAATGAGGACGGCAAGCTCGTACGTCGAAAGACTTGGCAACAGAACACCTGTTTGAGACACTCTGTGCACCACCATCAGGTTTACTCGCTAGTGTTTTCGAGGAGTCTTCGGTTTTTTGTGCACTTTATGGGGCCAGGGCCGGCCAGGGCTCCTCAGCTGCGGGTCACTTGGTCCGTGCTTTCTTGGCCTCCAAGGCCAGCTTGCGGGCCTCCTCCGAGCTCATGAGGCCTGTGGGCCTCGCGGGAGGATGCTCCAAGGCGGGGACGCCCTCCAGGGCGGGTGCATTGTAAGTCTGGGATGGACTCGCATCAGGGAACCCTCTGAGTCTGAAGGCCCTTGCTCCGAAAAGCTCGGAAGCAGCTCCGCCGCCGGCCTGTATCGTTTTCGCTCATCCTCGGCATCCTCATCCTCTCGGGTGCAGAGGGCTTTGGGCTCGGAGGATTTCTGTGGGCCCTGTCAGTCCGAGGCTTTGCGAGGCCTGGGCAAGAGGCTGGAAAGCATCCTGTGATAAGCCGGCCTCCGCTAGTCGTCTCTTTTAAGCTGGGTGACTAATGACTTGGGTCGGATGCTCATCTGGTGGAACTCATTAGCTCCTCTGAGGCCAACTCAGGAGGGGCAGGGCATGGTGAAGACGGTGAAGAGGATTATGGACATGAAAACCGAGGAAGAAGCTGATAACGGTGGTGCTGATGATGGCAGTGCGCCTGGTTGCTGCGATTGGCTTCAATGCAAACCTTCGCAAAAGTGGTGCAGCACTGTCTGAGCAATGTTGTGAAGGACGGTGGTTTGATGACACGAGCAGACGGACAGGGTCCGAGAGGCAAGTCGCAAATGCGGGCGCACGTTGCAACAGTGTTGTGGGGGACCAGATGTCACTGACAAGAGCCATGTATGCAGATGCGCTCAGCTTTGAGAAAGCCTCCGGAATCCATGTTCACGATTCGATTCATCAGGCACCAGCAACTCGAGCTTTGCCAACAAAGTCTGCGTGTGCTGCATCGTTCATCCCACATTCAAGAGACTTGGACTTGCATACCCCCAGCTTTTGCGATTCATGCCATGAGCCCATGAGCCCGAAAGAGTGACAAGAAGCGTCAAGCTGCAAATCCAGGCGTCAATGAAGGGCCCGGCCCGCCTTGGGCGCCTCGCCTTTGAGGGTGTTGGACCAGTACAAAGCGCTCGGCGGCCGGGACCCAGCGACGAAGTCCTCCGAAAAAGCGCTCGGAGGAATGCTCGAAAAAACGCTCGGAGAGGCCACCGCACCTCCGCCGCGGCGCAGGCGCCCGCGGCTTCTGCAGCCGCGAGGAGCGCGTCCATGTCGCTTTCGGGAGCCTCGGGGCTGAGATGTTCGGGAGACATTGGCAGTGCTAGGATCGAAAGGGTCTGAGGACTGCGAATGCTCTGGGTTAAGACACACCGGTAAGGACCCAAGAAACACAATGGGTATAGCAGCATCTACAGTGGATCATGCAAGACTCAATCGATTCTTGAAGGTTTCGCACCGAAACCCGTGGTTTATCTCAAAGCCCAGTTTGCCAGGTTGCCGCCTCGGTCACCTCTTGAACACCATCTGCCCCGCCTTCCGCAGGTTCCTGAACCGCAAAATTTGGGCTTGACGAAGGCTGTCGCAATCAGATCCCCCGAACTGGGTCTCGCTAGAAACAAACCCTTCTTCACCCCCTTCAACGCGCTTGCAATGCTGGAATTCCCAGCAACTCTTGAACTGCCAGTCGCTTGCTGCGCTGGTGGAGGCCCTTTGCCATCCAACTTTCCTCATCTTCTTGTTCCTAGCTCACAGCCTTCGTGCCCCAGCTGCTTGCCAACGCCAGTCAGCAGCAACTACTCGAGCGCGCCAAGCTGCATGCTGCATGCAGTCGCTCGTGCATGAACTCACATCTTGACGGATCCTGTTTGCTACCTTGTTCATACCAACCACCGAATCACCAAACTCGTCTGACAGATGCCTCCTCCGTGGCGGGCTTGCGGATAAAGTCCGCGGTCACATCACTGAGGGAGCCGTCCTGCTTGTATTCGCTGGCATTCAAGACTGAATAATTCCGGTGACTTTACGGACTCTGGAAAGTTTTGGGCGCAGTTTCGCATGGGCAAACCCTCAGCATGCTGCTACAAGTCCCCATGGAACCCGCCCAAGCGCCCCGCCTCCCAAGTAATGCTCAGCGATCCGTCGTCGTAGATCGCCTCGGCTTGCTCCGACTTTGTCTAGCTGCGTTGATGATATATACCGTTGCGCTTCCTTTGTGCGGCCGTCCAACTACTTGCAACAGGATGCCGTGAGAGGTTTCGTTTGCCCCGCCCCAAGGCTCTGGACAAGCCAAGCATCAGATATGTGAGCCGGCAGCCACTGGTCATCGTCCGGCCAGTATGCCTGGGCAAAAGGCGCCCGAAGAAAGCTCTGTACGTCCGCCCTACGCTCAGGGTTTGTGCCGCGGACCTGTACAAGACGCTGCAAGGAAACACCACTCCTGGGATACAAAAAACCTTGCATTCGAGGGGAAGGTGCCCAATATGCTGCTGCCCAAGGGGATCCCATGAAGTCACATTATCACATTCAATCACGGGCTGGTTCGGAAAGACATTCGAAATTGCAAATGTCCCCTGCTTCTAAGCTTCTCAAAGAACTTTCTTTCGGGCTCTTGGACAACCTGGAGACAGCGGGTACTGACTCAAACTGCATCCTGGAAACCCAAGCCGCTATTTACTGTAGCGGAACCCGGCGGCCTCCACGTACTCCCCGACCGCCACTTCTACCACATCCGTGGCCATCGGGGCTCGGGCTGCGACTCCAAAGCGTCGAAAGGCTGTTGCCAGCTTTTGTCTCTGGGCTGTCACTCTGGCTAAATTCCAAAATTGCTGCAGGGGCAGATGCTTTCGAACTGAGTTTTGTTGGTGCGCCGGGAGTCAATAGTCGGTCAGCTCCTCATGCAAAGGCTTTGCAGCTCAATGTCTGGGATTACATTGCTGCTCCTTCTTCTATCATCGCACGAGCTTGGGCAAAAGACCGCAGCCAAGCGCCGACGAAAGCTGCAAAGCCAAGACCCTTAAACATCAACCTTAAGCCTTTTGTGAAAGTAGAAACTTGACGAAGCTTCGAAAGGCCGTGCTCCCTCGGCCTCCATCTGCGCCGAGGCCCTCAGCTTCGCTTCCTTCTCGATCTCCTGCCGCCTGATAGATTTAGAAAGATTTGGGCAGTTAAGGGCTTATGGGGTCCTGTAAGGACGGCGCTTTAGCGGCAGTTTAGGCAAGCTTGGGAGAACGTTAAAACTGTAGGTTTGCGGCCGATTTTTGATGCTTGGGTCTGGACTGGGGGGGGGTCAAAACTGTGCCTCGCACATTGTGGGACCCGATTCAACCCTAGTCTGCGGCTCGTGGTCAGGAACCTGCGAACACATGCCAGCCCAGCTTGAAAAGAGGGCGTGACGGACTGCTCTCAACCAGTTGCCGCGACGCTGTCAGATGAACCACTGCCACAAGCTGACCTCTAAACTCTGACACCAGAACTCGCGGGACCTGTGCACACTGAGCTGGCGGCTGGATCGCAACTCGCACGTCGTTCAGGATCGGAATTTCGGACTCGGCAACGCGGTGGGTTGGGACCGAATGCGACGCGGGGCAGGGGGCTTTGGGCCAAGATGGATCTAGCAAGGGAGTCCAAAGTTCCTTCGATTCTGCAGATGCACTCGCGGCGGGTAAGAGTGGACTAGCCACAGTGACATTGGTACATACCAAAGCTTTTCTGACCAAGGTATAGGAACCAGGCCAACCACCTCAAATCCCCTGTGGGCTCATTGCAGAAGGACGCTTCCCGTCCGAAGCTTTTTTGCCGAGGGGGCTGGCAAGAAACAAAGAGTTCACCCGCCGAGCTCCGAACATTCTCCAGGTTCACCAGCAAAGCTCCCGCGCCCTGAGAGGATTGCTACCGGCTTGACAGTGGTAATGTTACTTCCTGAGATGCTCTCGTCGGTGCCTGCTTGCTCTCTGCAGTCATGCGCCATATGGTTTACCAGATGTTAGTAGTTTACAGAGCTTCCGGCATAATGGTCTCCAATGCCTAACAGGAGCACAATTTCTGTAAACACCCCTCTCTGCTCTGTTCAAGAACAGCGGAGGGCTGATATCGTATTTATCGCGCATGACCAGGGTGTCTCAATCCGAAAATCGTCGCACTTATGACCTAACCAATGTGGCACAATCGAAAAGCACAGTTCAGGGCACTAACCTGGTTTAGACCCCCAGCAGCCAGCAGGCGAATTCACCTCGAGGTTAGCAAACTTGTCCCTGTCGGCTCCCCGATCGTACATTCTGGGTGTATGACAGATATTGGCGCTGGTGTCGGTATGGCCGTGGTGATCTTAGCAGGCAAGATGGACTTGGCGAGAATCGAGGACGACTGCACAGTCAACAAGTACACTGCCCAAACGGTTCCCTTCAAAAGGCTAAAAGAACGACCCCAATCTGTCGCTTGTGGTCCTGCCGAGCCACTGCCTGGAGGTGTCGCTCCCTGGGAGTTGCGAGAACTTTGAAAGCTCAGGCTCGCAGGCGCGGGTGTCAGTGTTGGGATTGGGTTTAGGGATGAGGGCTCAGGACCTCCTTGGCTCGATCTCTCGGAAGCCCCTGAGGGTCAAGAAGGTTGATCTCTGACCCAGCTGCTTGCAAGCCTTCCATGTTGGTAGAACCCTGCAAGTGAAGCTTCAAGCTGCCCTGCTATTCAGAGACTGTACCAAAAACGAGAGGGTCAGCCGCGGACGTCATGTTCTCCAGCGCTTTCAGCCTGGCAAGTTGAGAAGGGAGCTGTGGAAGGTGCCGCTTCAGGCATTGAGACACAATGAGTTCGCGATGCGTTTGTTTGTGTCGAGGATCCAGATCATCCAGGATCCCTGCTTCCAGAGAGAAGACCAAGAGCTCTAGGAGCAAAAAGATGGCAGGAGGCCGAGGCCTCCCATGGTTTCACTCTTCAGATCCCGTGGCCTTCGTGAAGCAGCCAGCGCAGCCGCCGAGGCAGAGGGAGACTCCAAGCTGCCAGCGCCGGTATCGGGACACCTGCAGAAAAGGGGTCGGGCTTAGCTGGCTCAGCCGTGTCGGAGTTGGTATGGGTTACTGAAAGACAGGCACCCAAGTCGCACACCTTTAGGGAAAATGGGAAAGCAGACACAAAGAGTCCATAAGTTCAAGATCATTGGCGTGCCTGTTGCCGAAGAACCAGCACGGCGGGTTGTCGCAGAAGGTGGCAGGATTAGGCCTGAAATTGACAACTGCGAACTGGGAGCTTGAGAATGCTTGGACGCTTCGGGCCAAGGGTGTGTTGGAGGCTTTGCTTTTGATGGTGTTGAAGAGCAAACGACGGCAGGGGCTTGCACAGAGGAGTTATCATGCGCAGGAGGTGAATGGGTAGAGCTGGTGGGTACCTCACTGGAGGGTTGCAGCCTTTGGAGGTCCAGCAGAGTGCCTTGGCGCTCTCTGGAGATCAAAGCAAAAATCTGGGGCCCGCCACGCATCACAGCACATGAACTTGAGGGTCCTCCTTCCGTCCTGGTGGATGCCTGGCCCACATCACAAAGGAAGGGCATGTGAGGTTGTTTGTGCCGACAAGGACCAGGTTAAACACGTGCCCAGGCACAGAGCAGCCAGATCATGTCGCAGTAGGCCGACTCGCACTTGTCGATCACACGCTCATCTGAGCAGAGTTTCAGAGAAGCTGGACTCATGAGATCTGGGCTCTAGGCAGCTCATGTTGGTCTTGAAACGGCTTTCTTCCGGCACAAAACTGTTCATGTCAGAACCCCAAAGTCTCCCTGCCACCACTTCGGCTTCCCCCCTCCACCCAGGCACTGAGTCACTGAGCTGGAGGCTTCTGAACGGCAAAGCGTGGTTCTGCGGCTGGCGGCCGTTGATGGTGCTGAGCACTTGACTGCAGGGCGGAGCAGGGAGGCACCGAACCCTCCCCAGAAAGAGCCTTGGTCCCTGCAGCGTTCAGAGGAAGCTAAGATTTGAGGCTCCGGATCTTTGGAACTCTCGACGCCTGAATGATAATATACGAAGACCCGCGCGAACAGCCTGAGAGCCTTCTCATTCTAAACGTCCCTGCGTCGACAGTTAGGCTTCAGACAGACTCCGGACGATTGGGCTTGGCACGGCGGCTACGCTTGTTGCCTCTCTAGCAATACGGCAGCCGAACTATGTGCAAAATGGACCCATGATTGGCTAGACTTCTTTTACCGCGGCAGTGCTGCTATTTATCCGTATGATCGTTGGAGCCACAATATCAAGGTCGGACTTCGCACACCACCGAATTGCTTCACATATACTTCCCGACCTGGCGATGAGCTCCTCGTCACTGGCACGCACGGTTTGGTACTCCTTACATGTCACACAAGGTCCACTTGTGTAATGCCGAAGTGCGGAACGAAGCCCGGCCAAATCAGTCAACAAACCCAACGGCCCAGCATCCCATACACCGTTACCCGATAAAGAAAACAATACAGCAGTGCTGCCGGGATGCGTAAGTGAGCTCTTCCAGTGGGCTGACCATGCTGTACCTGCAAGGAGGCAGTTGAGGTGCACTCCGTACCTTCATCAACCTCATGACAAGCATCACCATCATGGTCATCATGTTGATGTTCAAAGAGTGTGCGAGGCATACTGTCACTTGACGGCAACATTACAGGATCAAGGCTTTTGGGTCACACGCTATAGGGTGCAACTTGGAATTTACATAAATTTACAAGCTATCGCAACGGATTTCTGGTCAAGTTCGGGGCAAAAGCTTAGCCTGTGCCTCCCCCTGTAATGGAAAACAACATCCTGGGGACGAAACTCATGCGTGCAATCGGTTCGAGCAACAGCGAAGACCATGCCCTACTCTTTCTGCAGGATCCATCTGCAACACACTATCCGATCAAAGCGAAACAGCGAAGCAGAGCTTTAAAGACCGGGGCGGAAGACGCAACCCAGACACCCTGGCATTGAGTCTCTTTCGCTGAAAGCTCAGCCAAGACCTACTCACTCGGAACCCGAAATGTAACTCAGTTCCGCACGCTTGCATGCCGACGCTCCTTGGATGTGGGTTGAGTATTACCTACATTCAGTCGAACCTGTGGTGAGACATGCTCAGAGCCCTTCCCGGCGTTCAGGTAAGCAGAACATGCGCAGCCATCGGAAATACTCTGAACTTGTCCTGCAACGGGAGCAGGACAAGCACCTCTAAACGGCTGCCTGCAAGAGCATGTAAAAACATGTCACGTGCCACTTCGGCCCACGCCTTTATTGCTGAACCTCAGAGTCACCCCGAACCTCACTAACTTTGTGAAATCCTGCGACGAAGCGGCCTGCCAATTGGTGCCGCCGCCGTCGGGGCGCCATCGTCAGGAAGGATATTGCCAATGGCGACCAGGCAGGTCTCGGAGCATCAGAGCATGAGTCGTGTTCCTCCTCTGTTTCTCTGAAGGGGAGCCTCTCGACCCAACAACAGCTCACCCTTTGTGATCTTACAAGCTTCAACCCGAAAGTCCGATGGGTCCGAGCCCCGTGCCGTGATCAAGGAGGGGTCGTTGATGTCGAAGAGGCCTCAACAAGGTGTGTGGGCAGGAGCCTTCTCCAGAAAAAATCCCCAAAAAGACACACATACCAACAACTCTGAAAATTTCGATTTCGGCTCCCCAAGAGGATGACGGCTGAGAAGCCCTGAAACGGGCCTGCAGCTGCCGACCTCTGCACTAGGTCCTCGAGGAGATTCATGGACTCAACATCCTGCCGGGGAAGCTTCCGAAGCCCCAACCTGACCCCGGCTGTCCAGCGGAGCAAATCCGGTTGTTGCGGTTGCCAGCTCGAGAGGGTCTGTAAGATGGATGAGGCTCAGAGCGCAGGATTACATGCTACTCTCATAGTCGACAGAAAACATGCTTCCAGGTGAATGGTGCCTCTCTCCTCCTGTCACGCACTGACATGCTTCTCACTTGGTCAAATGCAACGGATTGCTTTCGAAACAGTGTCATCGTCCCCAGAATGTTCGCACTTCGGGGGCCAGTCTGTGCTTTGAGCGCGTTGCTTTGCGAGATGGTTGAGGACCACGCCCGGAAGGCGTTGCCCCACGTACTGGCAGGACTCGGAGCCACGACGGGAATGTGGAGCCAAGCACTGGCGGATCCAGAACCAGCGTGGGGACGCCCCGAATCGTTTCCCTTAAATACTGCGCGATCAAAGGTTTGCGACAGCCAAAGGTGTCCATGCATACTTCTTTACAATGCATCCTTGTCCAGGGCGCGCGCCCCACACGAATCCTCTGTAAATAATAGGACGCCAGTGAAAAGTATGCATCGCACCCAAGCGGGAGACGAGCCCCGGCAGCATCCTGTGTCAATAGGATGCGGGGATTGAACTTGCAGCATTTGCTGCAGCGGAGAGCCATTCTTAAGCACACACCGGGCGGCTACCTTGATCCATTTTCGTTGTGCTTCACGCAAGCACCCCGTCCGTATACCACAATGTTTGAGGAAATTTGATTAAAACCTCCAACTTGGCAACCCCATCCCATTCGCCAGCATGATGTCCACGGCTCAGGCCCTGATAATCAAACAGAGAAGAGAACCAAAACAAAACATCATGGAAAATTCGACTTATTTTGGCAACTTTGCAACCTTTGCCAAAACAAGGACGCTTGCTGGTAGGGCTTTGGCCCTCTTGGCCTTCTGGCCACGGCGAGGGAAGCATCAGGAGAGACCAAGTAGTTACCGAGTAGTGAATAGCAAGTCCCTACTTATGGAAGACGCTGAAAGCTCGAAGGATCCAAGCCTAGATACGGCGTCCCGAATAGTCCAAGCAGTGTTGAGGGTATGTTGCGATGATGAGCTTATTCAAATATTGCACAGACCAGGACTATGACTATGACTGTCTGAGGCAGCAGGAAGCACCTCAAAGTGCCAATTCTACCTCCTTGGGGCTCTCATTCTCCGGGCTGGGGCAGCTCCTTCAGGCCCTGGTCGATCAGCGAGTTGGTCACGACGGCCTCCCAAAAGCTGCCCCGCTCCGGCCGGTCCGAGCCGGCGCGGACGGGAAACCGTCGCCACGTGTCCTACTGGTCCCCCTCTGTTGGCACGAAAGCGCCTGATTCGTGGCCGTGTTCATGGTCACCGGTGCGGCCGCTGTGGCCTGGATCATCACCTCGCGAACCTGGCACCGAGCCCAGGACGATGTGAATGTTACGTCCCCATGGAAGCGCGTTTTGGCCGGTCTAGCACAATCTCAACCCTCGCCTGCTCAAGTACTGCTTGATCTTCAGGTGCAGCTTCAACACCGGGGGGCAACGGCGGCGCCTGGCTTGTCGATTTTCGCAGGCACTCTGCTTGTCGGGGGGCTTTAGGAGGCTTTGGTCCGTGACGGACCTGGTATTCGAAGTGCTTAAGGCTGCCGCTTTAGCAATCTTTACAAGATACCTGGAAACATATTCGTTCCTTGGCTCCTGCAGCGTTCTATGAGCCGTCCAAGTTCTAGACCCATGCTTCTGAGCAAATCTTCACCAAGCCTGGTTGATGTTGATGATGGTCATGAGAGTATTCACAGCCGTTTCCGGGTCCGACGTTCTGGCTTCCTGAACGGCAAGGCCCGAAAGAGTGTGACTACTCCTGGGGTGCAATGAACCGACACAGCCTGCCCCAAACCCCCCGCATCAGATAAACTTGCTGCAACCGTGATGTGATCTGAGGAGCGGGCTTCCATCTTTCTGTTGATGATGGCAGTCGCATTCTTTGGCGGCAAAGAGAACACCTGAAATAGAAAAGAAATCGCAAAGCCATAAACTTAAAACTCGCCACACCCTCAGCTCTGTGAAGCCTCCTAGGCATTGCAAGAAATCTCTGCCTGGATGGTCCGTGTCGTGGTGGCCCCAAAAGGGGTGATGACGTCCACGAAAACTTCCCTGGAAAGGAATGTGGTCTTTGAAGCCTTCTGCGAAACTTGTAGCACAACATATGTCGGTACATGCCGAAATGAAATCAAAGCACTCTGACGTCACACATATACACATATGCACTCATATTTACACATACAGCTACAGGCACAGCTACAAGCACAGACACACCCGGCGTATACCAACACTGATACAAATACAGATACCTTTACATATGCACATGTACATGCCCCTACGCACAATGCGCATGTGCACGTACGCCTTCAATTGCCTTCATGTGCTTATGCGTGCATGTACACGACATGCATACGACATGAATGTGTACGGATAAACATGTTTAAAAAACATACATACATGCATACATGCATACATGCATACATACATGTCCCAGACAGACAAGCAGGCAGGCAGATAGACAGATACATACATACGTACATACCCATGCGTGCATACATGCATACATACACACATACAGACATAGAATATACATATACATGTGCATATGCACAGATGCAGACGCATGAAATGAAGAACAAGGTTCCAAAGTGTGCAAGACAATGCAATGCAAGTTGGGCCGAGACATGAACCTGCGCTTGCAAGGATCCACACGTCACGTCAATGCTGCCCAAGAAGTGCAAAAGAAATGAAGCAGGAGCATCCCTGGGCCCACTGGGGAGAGCATCAGCGGCATCTACGCCAACATCCAAACAGAGCCCCACATGGCAACGCTGTCCCAGCCAGGCTCGGGTAGGGGATAGCTGGAAAAACATCATCGATTTCGCGAGCCCCACCACACCCCCGCACACCCCGACTTCCAGGCTCAGTTTGTGAGGTATTGAACGAAGCTCCCCTGACGGGAAGCTTTCGTGATAGATTCATATGGGTAGTTGTCAAAATTATGGTCCCTTTTGGGGTACCCTAAATAATAGGTGCCGTATTATAATAAGGACCCAAAAAGGGACCATAATTTTGACAACCACCCATACGTGTGGCGCTCACGCACAACTTGGGCTCACACAATGAGAAGCCAGTGCTTGGCTCGCCGATCGGTAGCTCCTCAACCTGAGGCAGCGAGGGTCGTGGACGCGGGACCAAGAAGCAGATCTACAACCCCTCGACACCGGACAGAAGCCCCAAAAGGGAAGCTGGCTTCGCCGGATGGAGACCGCAGAAGCTTCGGCCTCGATCTGCTGCACCCGCTGCGGCGCCGTGTTGAGCCGTACGGTGATTGGATCCAGGCCTGGGCGTCTCTGAATCTTGTACTGGGCATCAGCCGCTCACATCTGCACAGATTATTCGAAGCCTGCCTGCATCATGAACATCAGCCGTACGATGTTGCAAGGAGACGCCGAAACCCGGCCAGCATGATAAGCATCAGCTGCTTGCCGTTGCAACAAGCAAGCGAAGACCGTTCAGCATCATGAGCATCAGCCGCTCGTTGATGTAAGAAGCAAGCGAAACCCGGCCAGCATCATGAGCATCAGCCACTTTCCGTTGCATTAAGCCGTCGCAACCCGGCCAGCATCATGAGCATCAGCCGCTCGCTGTTGCAAGAAGCAAACCAAAACCGACCAGCATCCTGAGCATCAGCCGCTTGCCGCTGCAAGAAGAAAAGGTAAAGCGGCCAGCATCATGAGCATCAGCCGCTCGCTGGTTCTAGAAGCAAACCAAAAGCGCCCAGCATCATGAGCATCAGCAGCTAACCGCCCAG